GTACAGTCACGGGGACCCCGATGCCATCCTCACAAAATGCTGGGCGGCAGGGACTGAGGTGCGGGCCGAGACCCTCGCTCTTGCCCTCTTCGGAATGGCTTTCTTGGCTCGTCTGCTGGCAGGGCCCTGGGCCCCCACTGGGCTGGCGCTCACCTGCTCTGGAGTGATGACTGTTGGCTCTTCTTGCTCCTCCCCATCTGGGGACCACGGGCTGCTCAGGGCTGGGACCCCAGTAGCTTCCAGGTCTGCAGGCTGCCCGGCACTCAGTCAGTGGGAATGGGCAGAGAAACTCTCCGGAACGAGACTCATTTCATACCAGACTTTAGCCTCGGGAAGGAGGGCGCCTGACGTTTGTCTCTAGATCCCGTTGGTTGGAAGGACGAGTGGCTGCGGTAGTGGCGGGCGGGCTGGCGAGGGGAGGCCCTGTGCCCTGGCTGACTGCGCCAGCAGGGCCCTGGCTCTTGGATGAAGCACTTCTTTCCCACCTGGCTGCCTCTTTGGCAGAACCAGGTGGCTGGCTAATTAGATGATGTCTTCGTCCACTTTGGCTGCCGTGACAGAACACTGCAGACAGATGAGGGGGCTTAAATGACAGACATGTATTTCTCAGGGTTCTGAGGCTGGAAGTCGGAAATTGAGGTGCTGGCAGACTAGTGTCTGGTGAAGACCTACTTCACATGGCGGACAGCGGACAGCAGGGGGCCTGTCTCTTCTCCTGTTTCTCCTTTTTCACAAGAGCACCAGTCCCTTGTGAGGGCCCCACCCTCGTGACCTCACCAAACTTAATCTCTCCCAAAGGCCCCACTTCCAAATGCGTCACATTGGGCCAGCATTTCAGCGTGAATTTGGGGACACACAGACTGAGCCTGGAGCAGGTGATCTCAAGTCTGGGTGTGCCAGACGCTGTCACCCACGCCATGTCAGCATCACATGGATGGTGTGGGGTGAGGTGGGGCTTGGTCCAAGCAGGCAGCTCCGTGGCCTCTGTCCAGAACTTCTGAGCTGGGGTCTCTGTGCAGGGGTGGGACCAGGAGCTGGTGTTTTCGCAGCCCAGGTGGCCAAAGCGCTGGTTGAGTTTGGAAACTAGGGCCCATGGTTTCTTCTGAATTTCACTGTCTGTTCCACCAGCTTTACTATGAATCAGTTCGGTTTAAGGAAAAGTTAATCTGTAGGCTGAATTTACAAAATGTGGTTATAGGTATTAAGATATCACTGATAAGAATTAGAACCTATTTTCAGTCATTAGAAGAACACGACAGTGAGAGCCTACTAGGAATATCTGGGTAAACTACATACAAGACTGTCGTGAACAGCGTGTCCCACAGTGTTGTGACTCCATGGTGGTCGGATGGATTACAAAATAATTCTGCATACAGTAGTGCTCGCTTCAACAGCACATATACTAAAATTGGAACGGTGCAGAGAAGATAAGCATAGCCCCTGCGCGAGGATGACACGCAAATTCTTGAAGCGTTCCATATTTTAAAAAAAAATTCTGCATATAAAACTGGGAAATCATTTCTTTCGTAGAGGCAGCGTCTAGTACTGTTTGGAAGAGAAAGCCAGGGGGTGCTGTTCCTGGGGGCACCAGCAGGGCCTCGCCAACCCATCCTGAGAGAGTCGATGGTGACAACTGATACTTACAGTGACGTCAGGAGCAGCAGCAGCTTTGATGCGCCGTGTCTGCCGGGAGCCAGGTAGTGCCGTGAGCATTTTTCAGAGGTTATTTTGTGCTTTCATGGCATTCCCCTCTCCCCACTGGGATGGCGATTCCCCTTGTGAGAGTTTGCAGTGGTCGCTGAAACAGATTACCACAAACTCAGCGACTCAACTCAAATATATGCCCTCACAGTCTGGGGCCAGAGCCCACACTCAGTCTTGCTGGCAGATGTCCAGCTCAGGGCAAGGCTGGTCCCTCCTGGCACCCCCGGGAGAACACGTTTCCTCCACCTTCCAGGCCCCTCGCTCTGATCTCTGCTTCTGTCTTCGCGGCCTCTCTCTGCCTCCCGCCCTCCTGCCTCCCTCTGGTGAGGACCCGGTGGTCACGTGGGGCCTGCCTGGAAAACCTGGGATGCCCTCCCACCTCAGGACCCGCATTCTATCACATCTGCAGTCCCCTTGGCCCATGAGGTGACAGCGCAGGTTCCGGGCATTAGGACGTGGTGTCTTTGGGACCATTGTTCAGCTCACGCTCCTTGAGAAGATTCCGTGAGAAGACCTGAGACACAGTTCATGGCGACTTTAACATACTCACTTTTTTTTTAACATTTTTGTTATTGATTTGTAATAATTTTACAATGTTGTGTCAAATTCCAGTGTAGAGCACAATTTTCAATTATACATGAATATATATATATTCCTTGTCCCATTTTTTTCTCTGTGAACTACCATAATTAACATACTCACTTTTAATGGTGAACATCAAGTAGTTAAACTCCAGTCACAGTACTCAAATATGAAGTAATGTGGTAGTTTAGGTATTGTTCTTTTTTTCGCTTTGATGTATCATAAAGTAACTTTACTTAAACATGCATCCCGTGTGATAGTGTCTCCATCATCCTTGAAGCTGCCCCTGGCGTCATCTAATGATATACTTTCCATTTTCTTTAGTTCTTTCACTTTTTTGGTGCATTTATGTAAATTACTTTGAATTATGCTTCTGTTACTGGAAACTTTATCCCAAGACATGAGAATGTATCCTGAGAACTTTGAAACAGTTATTTTAAAAACATACACTGGAAATCAACTACAGAGAAACAAAGGAGAAAAAAAGGAAAGCATGAAGATTAAACAACATGCTATTAAAAAACCAGTGGGTCGATGATGAAATCAAAGTTGAAACTAAAAAATACTTTGAGACAAATGGAAATGAAAACACAACCACACAAAATTTATGGGACACAACAAAGGCAGTGCTAAGAGGGAAGTTTACAGCGATACAGGCCTTCCTCAAAAAATAAGAACAATCTCAAATAAACAATCTAACCCACCAGCCAAAAGAATTAGAAAAAGAAGGGAAAAAACCCGAAAAGGCAGCAGAAAGAAGGAAATAATAAAGATCAGGGAGGAAATAAATAAAATAGAGATTAAAAAACAATAAAAAATCAATCAAACCAAAAGCTGGTTTTTTGAAAAATAAAATCGACAAACCTCTGGCCAAACCCACAAAGAAGAAAAAAGAGAGAGCACAAATAAGAAAAATAAGAAAGGAAAATGGAGAAATTACAACAAATAACATAGAAATACAGAATATCATATGAGAATATTATGAAAAACTATAGGGAACCAAAATGGATAACCTAGAGGAGATGGACAAGTTTCTGGAAACATGCAGTCCACCAAAACTGAACCAAGAAGAAACTGACCACTTGAACAAACTAATCACTGGAAATGAAATCGAATTAGCAATAAAAAACCTCCTTACAAATTAAAGTCCAGGACCAGACGGCTTCACCGGGGAATTCTACCAAACATACAAAGAAGAACTCATACCAGTCCTTCTCAAACTCTTCCAGACGATTGAAAAGGAAGGAATACTCCCAAACTCATTCTATAAGCCACCATGACCCTGATACCAAAACCAGGCAAAGACACCACCAAAAAAGAGAATTACAGACCAATATCACTGATGAACATAGACGCAAAAATCCTCAACAAAATATTAGCAAATAGAATCCAACAGCACATAAAAAAGATTATACATCATGACCAAGTGGGGTTCATCCCAGGGACACAAGGGTGGTTCAACATATGCAAATCAATCAATGTAATACATCAAATCAACAAGAGAAAGGACAAAAACCAC